GAAAAAAGGCAGAGAGACAGCGGCAATAGACAGGCAGGGAGACAGCTTCACACTATATACTGGAAACTCAGGTTCGGGTCGGAAGCGCCCACAGAGCTGAATCCGACCCGGTGTCCTCACATTAAAAGCAGAAGAGTTGCTGATGCAAGCAAGAGAGAAAACAGTGGTGTGCATCATTTCTGAGTGAGTTTTGAGCCCATTGACAATAATCCAATGAAAAGTTGATATACATACACACACATATACACACACACATATGTGTGTGTGTGTGTGTATACAAATATATATATATGCATGTTTTGTTCTCACCTGACTGTAACAAATACATCTTTAACATTCAACTTTTCCTGAAGAAACACGGCGATGTCTGCTACTCATTTCACACAAATTTAACTTGGGACACAGTTAATTTCAGAATAACTAAACATACAAACTGTTGAAGAACAAATGAAAGGACACTGTATGTTTTCATATATGTAAGTGCTGTCTGTGAGGATTAAGCCTTTTTTGGAAAAGTGAGGGGCAGGTTCTTTTTGAAGAAAAGAAGCTTCTCTGCATTATCAGCTGTGAGCCTGTTTCTGTTTTCATCCACAATATGTGACACGCATGGGGCTGAGAGGTATCTGCGTGACATTTGGGCCAGTGTAGGAAACCGCAGTTTGTTAACGCTCCAATACTGAAGTGGTTTGTCTTCCCGAGAAGTTGTGTTCTCTCCAAGGTATGTCTCTAACTGAATGGCAGCACCCACAGGTGCAGTGCTCAGTGATGTCGATGCTTGCGCATCTGCTATCTCATCTAACACACTGTCCAGAGTGCTGCTGGCCTGGGCCTTGCGTATCTTTCTTGCAAGTGGCTCCCCCATATCTTCCTGTTTGTCCTCCAGACACATTCTGCATCTCCTGTATCTCCTGCAACTGAATGTCGGAAAATATCGTAATAAATTTAATTGATTATTTAGGTTGATATCATTCTCTCATCACATGATCATCACACTCACGCACACACTTTACCTCGGATACTGTTCCAATGCAGTAGAGCGGGTTTTTTCCGTGTCCGTGAAGCGTCTCTTGACGGCTGCAAACAAGGTTCCCTTCATTGTTTTGATGCCATGGTCCTCGTCTGTTTCTTTGGTCAAAAGTTTCTGAAGCACAGTGACCGCAGGTATCACATCTGAAGCCAAAGCATCAAAGGAGCTCACTTTTTATGGTTAACTCCTCAAACGGAGCAAGAACAGATAAAGTCCTTTCTAAAAGCGCCCACTGGTGAGCGGTGAAATTGTATTCTGACCCAAATATTCCCACAGCCCGCTTCTGCTCGATGCCCGCTTCTGCCCTTATTGGCATGTTGAGCTGCATCTGAATGTCTTCCAGGCGGGAGTAGGCTAAGGCAGAATGTTGAAAATGTCCAACTATTCTACGTCCGACTGCCACCGCATCAGCAACACTTCGCTGAGCTAAAAGGCCCTCGTTGACAACCAGCTGGATGGTGTGAGCGGCACATGGCAGGCTATGGAGACCAACATCACTCATAGCCTTTATCATGTTTTTGGCAGTGTCCCGAAGCACAACGTGAACAGAGCTTTTCGGAATGCCCCACGCCTGGAGCATATCATCAAACGCACCTGCTATGGCTTGGCCAGTGTGCGAACCCCGAAAGTGCTTTGCTTGTAGAACGACTGTGCAGTAAATTCTCCATCAATCCACTGCGCAGTTAAACTGATGAGAGACATTGGGCTGACACTGCTAGGCCAAATATCAGTGGTGAAGCCGAGATGTCCTGCAACAGGTTGCTGATATGCTTTTTTACAAAGTCATGCAGCTTCGGTAATGCAGTGTCTGTGATGTGTGCTGGGAATTTCATACTTTGGCTCAAGTACGCTAAGAAGACGACGAAAGCCAGTATTATTTACAACTGACAACGGCTGGTCATCAAGAGCAATGAACTGGGTAAGAGCTTCTGTTATTTTTACCGCCCGTGGGTTGTCTCTGGGCATTTTCTCTCTCTTCTCCAGCGTTTGCTCCAACGTTGGTTGTCGTAGTTTCCCGCTGCTAGCATTAGCAAACTCCTTGAACTCTGTGGTATGTTGGTTCTTTAGATGTTTAATCAAATTGCTTGTGTTAAAGGAGCTATTTTTCCCCTCCTCTCGACAATTTAGGAGAGCATATTTTGCAGTCTGCTCTAGTTTTGTCATCGTCACTTATAGTAAAGAATCTCCAAACGGCTGACATTGCTTCTCTTCCGACGTTACCTGCTCATCTGAGGAGACGTTAACGTTAGCTCACGCGAAAGGTCACGTTGCCGTAAAAGGGTATCGAGTGCTGTTGTATCTGAGTAATTCTACAATTACGAGTACGAGTACATGAGCGCTGTATCGGGTC